ATAACTTAACCCTAAACCCTAACCTTCAAACCTAAATCCTAGTGCTTCACCCTAAACCCTAAACCCTTAACCTAAACCCTAAAACCTAAACCCTAAACCCTAAAACCTTAACCCTAAACCCTCAACCCTAGACTAAACCCTAAACCCTAAACCCTAAAACCTAAACCCTAAACCCCAAAACCTCAACCCTACTGCTTCCTACATGGAAGCAGCTCGAGCCCTCGGAGTTTAGGTCATGTTCTGGCCATCTGGTCAGCTGGAAGACGAAGAGCCACTGAAGTGGACTGTGGAGGCAATTACACGGCTTTGGGGTTCAGGGTTTAGGGTTTAGGGGTTCAGGGTTTAGGGTTTAGGGGTTCAGGATTTAGGGTTTGTGGTTGTGTTAGGCGTTTCTTTCTCCTTCTGAGTTTTTTAGCATGAAGCATTCATCCCTAAACCGTAGATGCTACCCCAAACGGATCTTTCAGGTGGTCCATGGGTCGCAATTCGCTTCGGAGCAGAGAAGGGGTTTTTGATTCTGATCAATACTCACCTTTAGTCAGCTTGTAAGGAAAGACCAATGCAATCGAGGCTATACAATGATGTATGCTTCTGGCGGCAGTGTTGCAGGTAACGTGGACTAAGTCTTGGATTTTTTGCTGACTTAATGCAGGGGGCTTCTCAACATAATCCTTGCGGAATGCATGGAGGGGACCCTTCTCACCGTTATGTAAGGTCTAGGGTTTAGGGTTTGGGCTTAGTGTTTAGCGTAATTCTCCGCAACTTAGAGATGTGGTGCCCTAAACCCTGCAGCCTGAAGCCTAGGATCTAAACCCGCAACCCAAAAGGCCCATGTAAGCCCTAAATCCCAAAAGCCCATATAAGCCCAGAACCCTGGCAGCCCCTTCAAGCCTACATAAGGGTTTAGGGTTTTGGGTTAAACCCTAAACCAAGCCCCAAAACGTGCGATGGACTCTTGCCGCCTCGGCTGTCGTTGACATGCAGCTCTCCAATTCAGAAGAAGTACAGCAGATGATCAGCATTTTACTGGGGATAGTGTACTCTCCAACGTAGAATAAGACTACATCCTCAGTTTGGGCAGAGTGTAATGGGGTGCTGCTGGTAATTCGGATAGTCCCTAGTATGTTGCCTATCATGGACTCATGTCTATACAGTATACAAGAAGCATTTTCGACTACTTCTGGAAGTTTTTCACTTTTTGGGTACAGCAGCGAAGCTGAGGAGTATAGGGGATTGCGAGCCACCCAAAACACCCTGCTGCGCCAGCAGGCCCCAATTGAAACATGCGAAGGTTTTTGGTAGGGAATACGGGTTCAGGGTTTAGAGTTTAGGGACCTTGTGGCTTAAGGCAAGAAACCCTCAAGCTTGTATCCCGAGTTCTACTAGTGAGCTCTTGTCTAACCTCGCAGCACCTAAGCGTTCACTCCCCAAACTGCCACTGAAGCTCAGGACTCTCAAATCTGAAAGCCTTAAACCCTGAACCCTAAACCCAAAAGCCTAAACCCCAAACCCCAAACCCCAAACCCTGAATCCAAGCCAGCTGAACTTCATGCAGGGCACGCCGAGCGCCAGTGGCGAGTCCAGCCCCTCGTTTTAGAGTTGTGTTGGGTTTGGGGCTTAGGGTGGAGGGGCTTTGCCTTTTCTTGTCCTTTGAAAAGCTTTTGGCTTGTATTCTGTGTTTTGATGCTTGTTGTTTGTCGTTTGTTTGTTTTTGTTGTTTTGTTGTTTTAGTGTTTTTGTGTTTGGGATTTTGGGCTTTCAGGGTTTGTATTGATTTAGGGCGTTCCGGTTTTTAGTGTTTTAAGCTTTTAGGCTTTAGGGCATAGGGTTTGAAGGTTTTTGAGCAGTTGGTCGACGAACTTTCGCAGTGGGAAGTATGAGACTTGGTACACGTTGGGACTTGCCGGATTTAATCCATCAAGCGTATGTAGTGTTTATTTGGGACGTAGGGTTTCCGGCTTGGCTTTCAATCTCTCGAAAAGACACGGAGTTGACCCAGGCCACCAGTAACCCCTAAACCTCTAAACTGGTCTGGTCTTCGGGCAATCGGTTCTGCTTGAGGGTTCTGAAAGCGGTCAAGTCCCTTGCGACCTTTGGCAGTGCATGGGGTTCTGGAGGCAGTAAGGTCAGCATTTATACCAGCAAACGTTTACGATATGGAGAGCCCCTATATCCCAAAACCCTAAACCTTAAACCCTAAATCCTAAACCTTAAACCCTAAACCCTAAACAGTACACCCTAAACATCTCATGTTCGGGCTTGGGGTTCGACTTGGGGACTACGGGCTGCCTGGCAGATATCATTTTTTAAAATTTGTTGCCATGGGAGAGCTTGGAGCCCAGAAGCTCCTAAGTAGGTTTTTGAGGTGGGCTTAGGGTTTAGGGTTT